TATATATATATATATATATATATATATATATATATATATATAATGAATTATATTAATATCGAAATTGCAACCATATTGGAGGCTGCTGTGATAAAACCACAATTCTGCAATTCTTCTTCTGCGCGTGGTCCAGCAGCATACTTCCACAATTTCAGTGGAAGACTTTGGGCATTCTTTCAACGCAACACTACTATGAAAGACGCGACAATTTATTAACGCAACACTAATTAAAAAAAACCGCGATGCAACAATATCGCAACACTAATTCATAGAATAAATTTAATATAAATTTATGATGAATGAATGAAAAGCTATTTCAAACATATTGATATCAATAAAATAAGATTATTAAAAAATTAAAAGAAAAATAAAATTTTTACAATTCAAGATTAAATATAATCAAAATATTTAAACATACAATCGCGATATCTTTTATAAGGCAACATTATAGCAAACACGATTATCATTTTATCGCAACACTAATGCAAAAATCGCGATATGCCCATGATGATTGGATGAACGATGGGCCAGCATGCAAATTGGCCGGACGATACAACAACATATACTACATAATATTAAAACGAGCACAGTGACAAAGTAATAACAATGACTTCCCATTCTTCGGATCCAAACAAGAACCAAAAAATGAGAAGCCATTCGTTGCAGCCCTCTTCATGACAGTTTGTCGGGCCTCTTCGGTCTTCCTCCTTCGGGCGCAATGCCCGCTGAAACTTAAATCTAGGCTCGAGATTCACTAATCGCAAACCGAGAAAAAAAAAAAGAAAAAGACGACTAAATCGCGGAAACTAAGTGCACATGAACGATCGCAATGATCGTTCTCCGTACACGCGCAGAATCTCGAGCGCAACGTTCGTTTCGAAAGCAAATCACGACCGCGACCGCGAAATTCGAAAAATCGATGAGCAAAGTTAGAGACGAATGGCACAATCGTCCATTCGTCTCAAATTCGCTCTCGATTTCTCAAATTTTATTCCCTGAAACAGATTGTCACGCGAAAACGCGCCTACCCGACCAGAGACTGTGACAACCTGCCCGGCCCTACCTACTTATAATTAAACAGCCACACCAGAAGTATACTACCTATCCTACCTAACCCTGTATTTAAAAAATGGCAAAACAGGCACACCAACACACTCATTCAACGAATCTCACGCATAACACTCGGGCGCAAAAGCCTACACTAGGGAAAACGTCCCGGGACGCCTCCGACACCCGAGCTTGGCACACTACTCGCATACTCTAACTTTACGTACCATTTCCCTGAAATCGACTGACGATGGCTAGCGACCATTGCGTAAATCGTGTTAAAGCATATATCTCAATTATTCATTTTTTTTTTCAATTATCTCATTTCTAAAGAAATGATTATTGGACTAGATGATATGATATTTGGTACCATTAATATAATTTAAGACTATAATTTAATAATAAGAAATTATTATTTATAATTCGTACTATTTAATAGCGGATGAAATTGTTATTGTAAATTTGATATTGATTATTGTAAATAGGATAATAGTTGAAACGACGCATTTCCACAGCCTAATCACACACACATAATGTGGAAAATGCGTCGTGCACGATACACTAACGCATAGTCAGTCGCTGAATATTTTTATTAATTTATGAACTAGTCATCATGCCCATTGCCTCTCTCTCACTCAAATAACACCTGGGTACGTGAGTGAGTTCCTGACAATGAACATGGAAAGGGTTAAATCTGAAAATCCTGAGCTAAAAAGAATATTAATAATTATTTAACGAGCTAATGTTCTTTAATATATCTATTTTATTTCAATTTTTTTAATAGATCTTTAAGATTCTAATGAATTACTTTTAATATTAAATAAGAAAAATATATAATGCTGAACATCAAACAAGAAATTTATTTATGATAATTAATAATAAAGAATAATTGACTCTGAATAACATATTAATGATCTCAGACAATCTCTTCATCAAAGCGTATTTTTGAAAATAGTCAAAACAGGATTTACAATTTATTGCTTTGATTCAGAAATTTATCTGTCGCGAAATGTCTTCTTGCACAATTATTATATTTCTGTACGGAAAGACTATAAATTTAAATGTCTTTATAATTTAAATCAAATTTAAATTTATAATAAAATATCAAATAATTAAATTATACAATAATTATTAATGAAACAAAAGTTGAAATTAAATATTATTTATTCATTTTTCAATTATCAATATTAACTATTAATATCATTTTATTAAAAACGTGATGTGCAAGAAAACCTATCCTTATCTAATAGATAAAACACAGAAATATAAAATGTTACTACTCACGGATATAATAAATATCCGTGGTCACTGTGCTCGTACAAAAATCTACGTATACAACCAGTCACCCGTGTCGATTCGGACCTTTCATCCTACGACATGATTGAATGACCAGAGGAATAGAAATGCATGCGACTCACCATTGATGCGAAGAATTTGCGTTACCATCTATGCTATCGTGATTTATGAGATGCCATCGTGTAAGAAGATGTGAAAGCCTTACAATATCTGTAACAAAAATGATACAATTATAATTTAAAATGTAATCCAAATTATTTGAAAAAATTCAAAGAAGAAATTTTATTAGAATAGATAATGGTAATAAAGAATGAAATTCTAGTGAATATTATGAATAATAAAAATTAAAGTTTTATATAACAATTTGAAATTTAACAATTAAAAATGTAATAATTCTATTTCAATAGAAGAATAAAAATTTGAATAAAATAATGGATAACTACCTCTTTGCGTGATGGATGATTGTTTATCCTTTTAAAAAAAACACTGACTCTAATATTTTTAGCGACACATATATACACTGATTCTAATTCGCGAAAAATTATTATAATTAATTTTTACTAAAGCTATTATACTTTAAAAAATGTTTAAAAACACTATTACGAAGCAAACACTGATTCTATTGATCGCATTGTACGCGATCACAAATATTCTCTGAAATTAAAACTGAATTAGGAATAAAACAGAAAAAAAAGTAAAATATTTTTTTGATATTTTTCTTCTTGTTTCTATCAAATATATTTTTTCAAAAATATTGTTATTTTTTTAGAACTATCAACTAATTATTTAAATTATAAATAAAAAAATTATAAAATAAAAAAATTATTTGAATCATTATGAATCATAAGTAAAGATATATTAAAAAATTTATTGATTATAATTATTAATATTTTTTATTTATTTTCAACTTAGTATTTTCAATGATTAATATATTATTTAACAATAATATGTATTATTAATAATTGTTTCAATAAAAAAAAGAATAGGAATGTATAAAATTTGAAACTTTACCACTTCTGCATAATGGCGTCCATATTGAAATTTTTCCCACTTTGTATGTCACTCCATAATCAGCTAATAATTTCTATAAAAAAAAATTAAAACGTTAAAATAAAAGAATAAAATGTATGATATTAAAATTAATTGTATTAAAATAAAATAATAAAGATCAAATTTTATTTTATAAATTCTAAAAAACTCAAGATATAAATTAATTGTAACATTAACCTTCAAATAAATGAATAAAGAAAAAATTAATAATTAACTTCTAAACGACTGTGATAATAAACGAATCAATTGTAATAATAAACAAATATTAATTGTATGATAATATATGAACGATAAAAAATAACTATGAACGTATTTAAACAAATATTTCACAGCAAATAAACCACACACCTCCAGAAAAATGACGCGTCCGAACACTACAAATATCGATAGAAGAATGATACTCTCGTTACAATTTCGATTATCGAATCGTGAATTAGAGAGGGGATATGCTCACGTTCGACAACAAATCGAACGTGTATGTATGAATTTTCGGAAAGGTCGTAACGAATATTTACAAGAAATGTTATAAGAAACGTTACAGAAAAATCCTCAATCGTAACATAGATGAAAGAAAGAGACAAATATATAAATATAATAGTACGCAATAGACGAATTTAGAAAATGTATTACTGAAATATTTTAATTGAAATAAAATTGATTTTATTGTTCGTTCGTTTCAATATGAATAAAAAGACAATAAAAATTTAATTCAAATACGTCTATTTTTGTGAAAAAAAGTAAAATATTATCAAATTTGAAAGAATCTTATCGATGATATATAAATTCTTGTGCGTGAAAATTATTCATAATAGAATACAATAATCTATACAAAAATCGAAACAAAAACTATAAAACAAATATATAAAATTAAAATTATATTAAAATAAAATAATAATTCTTTGTTGAAAAACTCATAATACGATACAAATTACCAGTAACCTCTAAAATCAAACAAAACGAACGAAAAAAAAACTCAAAAAACTAATTAATTTTGTTGTTAAGATTACATTATTAACATTGAATTATTAAATAAACGAAATTAACGATGATTTATAAATGAGATAATAAAAGATGAACTACTTACTGCGTAATAGAAATCACGAAATTCAAGCTGGTGATACAACCTGTCACAATGACTCCCGTAGAAGAAATGACTCCGCAGGATTATTTAGGAGTTTTCTAATTGGCTAATACGGTATGGTTCCTATTTAGTTAAACCGCGCGAAAATCGAAGTATTATATAAGACATTTTAATTGTGTGTATCTTATAATACAGAAGATCTATTTATTAAAAATACAATGAGAATTAATTATCAAAATTAATTTAATATGAAAATTAACTAGATTAAAAAATATTAAAAAAATATTAAGGAATTTAAAATAAAAATTAATTCAAAAACAAATCATATAGAAATTAAATGTCAAAAAATTTAAAAATGTACTTAATACAAAAAAAAATGAAAGATTTAATAAAAATAGATAAAATTTAAAAAATCTAAAAAAAAGTAAATCTTTAGAAATATTTAAAAAATAGAAATATAAAAATTTTAATAAATTTAGAAAACATTAATAAAAAAACGAAATCTAAAAAATTATATTTATAAAAATTAAATACATAAATCTAAAAAATTGAAATATAAAAAAGAGATAAAATTAAAAAAGAAAAAATTGGAACATAGAAAAAGACATATAAAAATTATTTGAAATAAAATACAATTAATCTTTATAAAGAAATCTTTTTCATTAGATGTATTTTTTTTAAGAATCTATGAAATAACAATTATTTATCTCTTACATATTAAATCATGTAAATTTCATTCTTCATAACGATTATAATAAACGATTATTATATTTATAGTTGTATTCAACGTTATCCTACAATGGATTTATGATATTATGATATTATATTATATGATATTAGTATAAAATTATCATATATTCCAATTATTATTGAAAACATGAAAAAAAGAAATGGAGATAAATATTAAAACTGATAATATTATTTTTACATTTCTTTATATATTTGTTAATTTATTTACTTATTTATTTATTTAATTGTCATTTTATTTATTTTTTTATTTATTTGTTCATTTATATAATTTATTCATTCATCTTTTTATCAATTCACTTTTACTATTAATTATTTAATTATTATTATATAAAATGGAAAAAAAATAAGATGTTACAAGAAAATTTATTACTCAAATAACAAAAATATTTCTTTGCAAGATAAAATAAGAATTAAAGATCAGCGCCATCTTTTGAATATTTTCGAAGAAATAGTTTAAGATACTTCTAATATTCAAAAGATGGCACTAGTGATCAATTCTTAACCTCTCTCTATCTTTCTCTTATCATTTGCTCTCTTTGTCTGTATTTTAGTTTCATTTACGGCAGACTAGAGATGGCGCTGATTTCACAATTTTTACCATATCTCTATCCTTCTCCCATTGTTTGTTTTCTTTGTCTATACTTGCTCATGGCGCGTGATCATAGATGAGATACAGAACGTTAGTTAAATATACTTTTATCATTTTTTTAAACTACATCTTAATCTTTGATAAAAAAATATAGATATTATATTCTTAGCTTTATAATGTATTTCTGCGACGATAATTTCGCAAAATATAATATATATATATACTGTAATGTAGGACGTGATTTTTTAATGCGAGACACCGCTCAGCAACAGCGATGGTATGTAAATAAACGAAAGCCTGGCCTGGCAACAAAGGTTAAAGGAAAGAATTTTTTTCTATCGAAAAAAGATGCTAAGATTTGTTTGTCGAATCTTGTTTAACATTCCTAACGCATGTAGTTAATCGTTTAAATATTAATTGTTATTATTCATTCTTGTACACATTAAATATATGGTAAGAAGAATAATGAAATTGCTTTTTCTTTGTTACAACTCTTATTCTATCTTCATTTCTCTTTATGTAATATAAATTTAAATTGAAAATTAAAGTTCTTATTCTTGTATCTTATAAATCCGCAAATTAGTAAATATAAGATAATATTTACCATAAAATAATTGGAACAGAGTAATAGTCTTTTATTAACATGACAAAGTGCTCTTGTTAATACATCAATGAATGTATATCATAATATTAACTCCATTTGACTTTTTTTCTTTGTCTATAAGTTTAAACTCTAATAAGTTTAAATACAGTTTAAGTTAAAGTTCAAACATTTTATTAATGTTTCTCATAAGATGAATTATACTATTGTAATAATAAAATATTTAATTATTGAAAAAACTATATTATAAGAAAATAAAAATTATTTCTATATAATAATATAAAAAAATTTGAAAAAAAATATTTAAATTATAAAGAAGAATTATTAATTTTTATAATTATATATATTTAAAATAAATTAATTTTTTAAAAAATAATATATCGTAGAAAAAAACTTTTAAGTTAAAAATTGCTATCGAGTTGGCCCATTAGCTCAGTAGGTTAGAGCGTCGTGCTAATAACGCGAAGGTCGCGGGTTCGATCCCCTCATGGGCCAAAATTTTTTTTATATTATTATAGAATTATAATATTTACTAAAATTATTATTCTCATTTTATCAATTCTTTCATATAGTATTATTAGCAATATGATCAGAGATCAAGATAGAAGTAATATCACAAGATAAATTGCACAATTTATTGACTAATTATTATTATTAGTCGTATTAGAAGAATAGATAAAAATAATTACTAATTCTTATATCATTATTAACAAAGTGATAAAACTATCATAATCTTGAAGTAATAATACTTGTTAAATCAATAAGTATTCTAGAAAAGTCATAGACATTAATCAATAGCTTTCAATTGTTTATTTAATTCCTATCTTAGATCTACCATGACGATGGAAAAAATTTTATTATACGATAAAAAAAAAGAAAATAATAAATAATTTATTGAGAAATGATCATTCACAGAACTTATGTGCAGCAATTGAACATATAACTAAACGCATCGATCACACACTTGAGCAAGAACACGTTCTCGAAGGACATTCTTTCCTTCAATTGTTCGTGAAGCGGATCGTATGCGGTTAACTGCAGTTAACTTATTATTGCAAAAAATTGCAATGAATGCGGTAAAATACATTTATTTCACAATGAACTATGGTAATTTCCTATGATTCAGTATAGTTATATTCTTCAATAACCTTCTCTCATTGAAAGGGTGTCGGGTGTATTGCGCCTGTCCTAAACCGGTGCATATATATGTGTCTGTATGCAGCTATGGGGGCATTATACCAGCATGTTCCTGGAACTTATCGATCTGGCCGCAAGCTGAGCTTCCTTTGGCTAAATCTGACGTCACAAGCGGCAGCTGATAGGTAGAATTCAACTGTGGGCGATCCGTATTGGTCGACGAGCCGGTATAAACGATGCTTTCACGGTAACCTGTTTCAGTTGTGTTGTTATCCACTCACTGTACACTTGGTAAGTACATTTTGCTCCAAAATTCATTGTTTTTCTTATTCTATCATTATTTATTTATCATTTTTTTTTATATTTTTAAATTGTATTTTTTTTATTCGTGAAAATTTTCAATAAATTTTTTAATTATTTAATTGACAGACGTTTATAGTTTTCCAATTAATATAATAAATTGTTAATATTTTTTTTTCGATCAAATTCAACTTAAATTTACATTGTGAATATTTAAAAAATTATTATTATTTTTATTTAAATATTTTATTAATTTTAAATAACTAAGCTCGAAACATTTACATTAACAAGACAATCATTATTAGCTTTTGTCATTTTATATAATATTGTATAATAACAAGTAAGAAGTAACAAATAAGAAATCTGTAATCATTTGTTAATCGATTTAATGCAAAAGCTATCAAAAACACTTATTTTAAACCAATAATTGTAAACTGCAATTGTAATCATCGAATGTTATGGCGTTTACATAATACAATAATGTATTATATAAGTAGATTCAAAGATAGTTTCACATTAGATTATATTATTATCAATGAAACGAATGAAAATTTTAACATTTTAATATTGCCGAATTATATATGTCCGATGCGTTTGTCTGCAATCTGTAGGTGCAATGCATATGCGCGAATAGTCAATGGTTGGTAACATCGATTTGTCCTTCGCGACACCTGCTAAAAATTATTATATTTCTACGAAGACTTGGTTAATCCGTTTCTCAAAAACTTAAAAAAAGAAATTATACGGAAATTAACGAATTCAAATGACGTTATGGGACAAAAATTCAATTATTTATTGTTATTATCTTTAATTATTTATTTATAATATTTTTTTAAAATAAATCTTTTGTTAATTTTGCTCCAAGTTCATTATGTAATATAAAATAAAATACACAGTATGTAACGATTGGCTTTGATTTGTACAAATACTATACTGCATTCGTGCTGAATATAATCAATATATCAGGACCTTTTTACTATCTCCGTGCGCAAGGATATCATAGGACTCCGCCTCTTCAAGGCGTCAGAAATCGTTAGAAAGGGAGATAGCATACTCGAGATATCTTGTTTACATTATCTTGTTTCACAATCCGTGATTTATCTTTTCGCATTCGACCCGGATATTTAGAAAAAACCTTCAGAAATATAAATATTTCATTCGATATTTAAAATATTCGATGTTCAACAGGAAAAAATTTAATTATTTATTTATTTAATCAACGATTAATACTCAATTATTAAAAATTATTTTATTATTATAAAATAGCAGAGCATGATATATTGAATTGCAGTAATATAAAGAATAATAAAAAAAAAAATTATGATACAATAAAAAATAAAACAAAATACAACAAAGTTATTCAAACGACAAAGCTATTGACTTTAATTTTTAAATCTTTTAAATAATGATTTATAACAGAAAGGATTGTTCGTCAATTTTTGAAAATTGATATATATAATATATAAAAGATATGGGTGCAGCAATTGGTGCAGGCGCATGGCCGAAGTTTGCTATCGATCGCATTGTTTGCAAGCGCCTTTCATAGTCTTCCTACACAACGGAGTGAGTACGTATTACGCATTCGATGGAGAAATCGGGCTGCAACGTGTGGAATAAATCAAAGTTCGTAATAGAAATCAGTGATCGAAGGTTAGAAAGAGTGTTTTTCAATGTTTATTATTATCAATTTTAAATAATAAAATTCATCGTGAACTATTGGCAACGGTAATTCCATCGAATTCTTTGTTCTTCTTTGTGTTAAGTTCACCTCTAGTTTAAATTTTTTACTCGACTATTGTCAACTGAAATTACACTGTTTGAATAATACAATTATCAAGGACAAATCTATCGATCTTTTTTTTTTTTTCTTTGTCTCAAGTTCACCTCTAGTCCGATTTAAATATTTCAATCGACAATTTACAATGAAATTACACATTGATTATATTCAACGAAAATAAAATCGTATAGAATTAAATTCTTTCACAAGAACGACGGGAATTTAGAGAGCAAAGAGCAAATGGAACTTGTGCTAAATCACGACACGGACTTTGCCCTGGTCGAGTTTCAACCAACGGTACTCTTCTCATTTTTTTTTTCTTCTTCTTCTTCTTCGTATGTTGGGTTTACGGATAAAAATCTAGAGAACAAAAACCATCGTTTTCAAGCCCAACCGCGTGAGGTCGTTACCTGTACGACAACATTTCTCTTTAACAAAAATAGCCTCGCCTGCCTTACAGCCGCGTTACAGATATAACTGGTTTCGACATTGCGTTTCGAGCAGAGTTAAACTCTTCTGCTTGAGAAAAACGGAAGATGAAATAACGTTATCAGCATTCCAATGGTGTTCTAATTTACTCCGGATATATAATATCCCGAAAATTTCATTGGACGAGATGAAAGACCTAGTAACATCTTTTCGCATCATGCTCACTGGCCATCTTCCAATACTTATCTACACGATCTATTTTCGCGTCATTGGATCCACGATACAGTTCGACTGCCCACGTGCATACATCGGACGAAAAAATTATTTTCTCCGTGCGAATTTGCATGTTGTGGTTACGTAAAAAATGTCGTGTAAAAAATTATGACGCGATGAATTTCGCAGACTAAACAGTTTTATTAGTCGTTCCGGCTTATGAGTCGTCGTTCACGCGACTGGGCCGTGTTTCACAATAATCTCTCATGTTCGTATTTGATAACGAATTAATTGTTTTTATTGGTATCTCATGGTGTAATCTCATGGTTGATTAAAACCACTCAAAGTTCACTCGACCATTGAACTTTGATTATTACGATATTTTGATGAATTTAATGACAAATTGAGCGATTGTATATATATATATATTTGTGTTTTCTTGAAAACAAAAAAAAAAAAAAAAAACTCATTTTCTCATTTGTTTCTTCATACTTTCGCCTGTTACAGAAGAATAGTATGTATAAAGTACTTCACAATCAAGACATAAAACACGAGTGCTCGCGGTCAGGGGGACTGCACGCTTATCCTGATCATTTCAGGGAACCTAAAAAGCTTTACCTCTAAACCAGCCGTTTGCTAAATGATCATTTAAAGGTTCCTGTCCTCTGGTAGGACTTTGTATATAGTGTAAATATCGCTTTTCTAACAAAGGATCTCGCTCAAAATAAAAAAAAAAAAGAAAAAGAAAAAAACGAGCAAGCTCGAAGAATCGAAACAAGTCACGCGGGGATTTCAAGGAGTCGAGAGAATTCGAAAGATTGCACTATTCCAACCCCCCCTCCATACATCCGACGCATGCATCAACCTAGAACGCACTAATCAGTCAACTAGTTAAAACAAAAAAAGAAGAAGGAGAAGAAGAAGATTGTTGGAGAGAAAGAGAGTGAAAAGAACGAGCACGATGAAGCAACAGGCGTCGGAAGAATTCCCTTTATGGATAAAGTTACTTTCCGCAGGCACAGCAGCCTGTATCGCTGATTTAGCGACGTTTCCTTTGGACACCGCCAAAGTCAGAATGCAGGTAAATATACGCGTGTCTAATTTATCGGCCGACTATTTTTAAAGCGATAAGCTTCTGTTTTTACGAGTAAAAATTACAAATTTTCAAAGTCTAGAGATCCAGAGTTCTTCATGAGAATAATAATATAAGATTTTATGTAAAGGTTCTATACCTTGAATATTGCTCGATCGATCCTTACTATAGATTCATAATTATTCGTTCAAATATTTAGTATTATTATTTCTACGTTTTATTTATAGTGTGCTTACATAATTACAACTTTTTTCCATTTTCCTTAGGCTATATACTATAAAACAGTACAAAATCGTGTTTTGCCTTATGCAATTTTTAAAATTTACATTTGATTATACGTATCAATCATCTCGACATCTTTCAATTCTTAGAAAATTTCTATTAAATCCTTGCACATGATTAATATTATCATAAATAATCGTATCGTGTAATCAATCAAGTCGATTTTTTTTTTTCGTATGAACTTAATTTTCTTTTGAATTACACCTTTTCAGGTTTGTTGTTCAGGAATGTTTGTGCAAACATTCTATACGCTTTTTGCTGAACATGATATTTATACATTGTAATTGTGAAAGAGTATTTCTTACGTGTGAATAAACAAAGAAATGAATAAACAAATATTCGGAATAGATATTCATTTGATTTAAATGTTACTCGCGCAAAATATAAACGATCTACATTTTTTTAGATTGCCGGGGAAAGTCGTCCTCTTCTGTTGGCGACTGCGGATGGCTCTATGCTCGCGATGCGAAATACGCAACCAGGATTATGGAGGACAGTAAAGAACATCGTCAGACTCGAAGGAGCAAGGTACGTTATTCACGATCCTATCCGTAATTTAAGAACAAGGGGTAGGTAAAAACCGATTACATTATTGTACATAAATATAATTAGCGTATATTTTATTTATATATATATATACATATTCTTCCGATTCAAATCAAAGTTTATATACACAGCGGGCACTTTTTTATGCCCGCTCGAATGTTAATTATTTGATTATTCGTAATTACTTCAACTTGAAAAAAAAAAAAAGAAAAAGAAAAAGAAAAAGAAAAAAATAGAAAAAGAAAAAAGAAAAATTCCGTACTGGCTGATCATAGGGCTGTTCGTTCAAATAACTTGAAGTCAATCGCTAATTGAATAGAACGCACATATTAACTCTTTCTGAAAGAGCTTCTTGGCATATTCCATGACTCGAGAATTTCTTCAATTTTCTGCACGTGGCCTCGCGATTCGATTGTTCTTTCGATCTCTATATAACTATGCATTGGATCGATCGATGCCATCGACGTCGTTGCCGTGCACCGTGAGCTAAATCTAATTATAATCAAATGCACCGCACGATCTTTAAAGATCATGGTACGTTGTTCGTTAACAATCGCTTGGAACTCTAATTGGAACCAATTGAACGAAGAAAGTACATTGATCGAGGTTGCATAATTTTCTTTTTTTTTTTTTTTCTTTTCTTTAAATTTACACAAACAGCATCGACGACGACGACGGACAAAGATCGAGATAACATAATGTAAAGTATTACGATATCTCGCGATTATATAAAATATGAAAAATCGCTGATGCATTGGCATTTTATTTTAGCATATCTTTACTCTTTTTTCTAATGCTAATTGGGTTTACCTGTCTTTTTTCTTTCTTTTCTATATACGTATTTAACTTCGATCTTATCGAGTGCTATCGACTGTTCATTGAACTAACACTGTTGATTGCATAATCAAACACGTGCTCGTATACTTGATAATTGCATTTATTCGAAGAGCGAACACATCTATGGCACTCGCCTCTACGCTTTATTTTTATACTTTCTCTCTTTGACACGGGATGCCTTTCCTATGAATTAAATCGGCAATAAATAACGATTATCGCTCGTAATTATTACTTATATATTTATTTATATAAGATGGATAATTGCGTTTGAATAGATGGTTAATCGATATTACGATCGTTCTTTAATGTCGGATGTCTCCTCCTCACAGAAAAGGAAGGCATCGCGTGACCACTTCAAACTCCCCACCCGTGCAAAACTTTTTTCTTTTCTTATCTCTTATTTTCTTATTTTTCTCTGCTTCCATTTATTTTGCCTTTGCTCAGCCGCAGTTTTCCTTTTTTGAAAGATTGAGAAATAAATAAATAAATAAATAAATAAAGTAAAATAAAATAAAATAAAGAAAATCAAGCAGAGTGGCGTCTCGCATGGTTGCGCCTCCTCTGCGAATACGATTTGTCATAATCGTGTCCAGCTCTCTCAGCGCAAGCTCTCTCCCGACTTTTCTAGCTGATCTTTTCTCTCGTACTCCTCCGATATTGTCGATCAGAGACTCTATTGGCTTCCCTTCCAATCTTTTTACATAACAAATGTTACAATTATATAACATTTCATACGAATGTTTTTTAATAACGCGATACCCATCTTTTTTTTCTTCTTCAATCAAATAAGAAATAAGGGAGAGAGAGAGAGAAGAAAGAGAGAGGCGAAATTCACCCTTTGCTGACTAGTGTCCTTTCAGAAATATGCATTTTTATACTTACATTTTATATCTAAATTGCATTATTAAATATATCGATATGACGATTATTCCATCGTCATATCGTTATTAACAGTTACGATTTTTCGATGAGCGGGATCTAGTTTCCAAAGGGTTAAAAAAAAAGGGAACGAGAATTAAATTAAATTCGAATTTTTGAAAAAAAAAGGAAAATTATTCATTCGAAGGGGAGCAAATTAGAGAAAAAAGAGAGCGAGAGAGAGAAAAAAAGAAATCGAAAAAAAAAAGAAAATAAACGAAAACTTGTAAAAGCAAAACAAATCAAAAAAAAAAAAAAAATATTACCCTGGGCTACGTTTGAGGGTAAATTGTGAGGGCGGTGAGCTTGAGCGAGGGTGGTTACAGGAGCCTGTACGGAGGTCTGTCCGCGGGACTCCAGAGACAGATGTGTTTCGCCAGCATACGGTTGGGCCTCTACGACGGGGTGAAGTCACGCTACGCTGGAATCATCGACGGTACATCCAACAAACTCCTAACTTTTTGATTACGTAATCCTCCTATACGATATAACCGGGTATAAGCGCGAGCGCGAGCGAACGAACGCTGCGCACGTGCCCTCCATCTCTCTGTTACATGAATGAGTGACACACGCGTAAGTAACGGCTGGTTGGTCGATCATCGACCACCATCGGCTACCGCGTGCTTTTTAATCAAAAGAATTTTATATATATATAGACCTATATATATATATATATATATATATGTAGACATATAACAAGAAGAAAAA